CTGGTCCGGTTACTAGGCAAAACCTCGGGTGAGACAATTATTACTTTTTTCACAATAATAACTAACTTTACTTCAAACAAAAATTAAAAATAAACTTAGACTAAAAGCAAGTGTTTCAATCTCACTCCCCACAAACCCTGTTGGTGTGATGTGCAAAGTTCAAAGTATAATTCATGAATAGAAAAGACTCTACTGTGAAATTAATCTTCACCATGTCCATTTGTTCTAACGTTTAAAATAATCTATGGATATTAACTTAAAAAGAATGAAAATTTTTAACTGACACAAAAATTAAAAACCTAAAATGTTATTTTCCCACCCCCAAACTTATTTCACACGTTGTCCTCAAAGTGTGGAAAATAAATAGAAACTTAAAAAAAAAACAAAAAACAAAACTGGAAAAGATAAAACAAAAACCTTGACACTAAAAAAAATTAATGGACAAGACTATAAAAAGAAAAATAAAATGAAAGAAAATATTGAACAAAATGAAAATAAAGGAATGCATAACACTTGGCTTTTTATGAGGAAGGTCATGGTGTGACAATCCTTGGGCCGTGACAAACTACACATTCGTTGGGTTTGAACCCAACCCGCAAAGCAACACACTAGGAGAACATTGGATTCCCCAGGAAAGTGACTTGCAGTTGGCATGCCAATTTTGAAAAGGTGTCAGTCATGGAGCCCACGTAAAAGACTGCACCAGCCCATTTTATTGAAAACCCCGAAATGCACATGCATGGGCTAGATATGCAGACCATGCGCCAAGTCCATGTGCACAACATGCGTGCACCAAAACCCGAGCACCAGTATGTGAAGACATTAGATTCCCTGCGAACCTCGATTACCGAGCCGAATGGCTCTTCTCTTTTCACCTAGGCTAGAGCCAAACGGCTCCATTTCTGAGGCATTTCAAAATCCCCACTCGGTAGATCATGGAAACGTTCAGATTTGCACATGTGTCGTGCATCTGGGTGGGGAGTTCCTTAGGATTCCAACTGAAAAGCTACATTTCTTCCATTTCTCTTAGAAACCATCTCTCTAAAATGAAAAGACCTCTCTGTCTCTATATTTTTTCTCTCATTTCCTCAATTCATCACCGCTCTCTTCTTCATTACTCTAAAAAACGAAATAACCTTCTGTCTCTTTAGAAATTCAGCCTCCTCCTCTCTTGTATTTCTCAACCCTTGCAGCCCTTTCATTTCTCGAATCTTCTCTGCTTCCAACTGAACAACGTACCCCCCGCAGTGTTTCAATAGCCCATCCGTGGTAGAAATCGTAAAAATTGAAAGCCAAAGGTAAAATCATCCTCTAATCTTTTGGTTTCATTGTAAGATTTATTTGTTTTAGAGAAATGGAACAAGATCTAACACATGCATGTCGTTTTATCTATGTGAGGACCCCCAATAGTTGCAAATTTGAGACAAACAACACAAGGAAAATGCCCCGAATCGCCATCTCGTCCCAACCAAACCATGTTGCTCCTAAGCCTCACGCCATCACGGATTCGAGTTCTAAGCATGCAGATCGAGACCATTTTGCACATGCAACGGTAATCTTCTCCCACTTGGTTCAAATATACATGTCTCTCAGCTTGCGAAAAATCTCTGAGAGCTATATTTTCGTTATGAGTCTATGTAGAAGCTTACAGTGATGTTCTTCTGTATTAGGTACCCGAGATTTACAAAGAGATTGAAGAGACTAACTCAAAAAAAAAAAAAATTCCCAAACTCATGGGTCTGCAAATTTTGAGGTAAAACCCGCAACCCTTTTGATGGATTGACGATGATCTGATATTTGACTAATAAAACCACTAATGGGACTAAAAAATAACACTTAAATCCAGCGTATAACCGAGAGAAAACAAGCTTATGTTGCCGGTCTAATGGTCCCAGAAGGCAAAATAAATGGCAAATGTCTCGGCCTCTGCAAATCATGAAGGTAAAGATCTCGTTCTTCTGCTTTTTCTAAGCACAACATTTACAGTTCAACAACATTTTATGTATGATGCCATTTTTTACAGTGTATATACTCCCAAAATAACGTTATACGAACTGAAAACATACAAGCACTTGAAGAACTTGTATCTCTAAACTGGTAACACTGCGGACTAAAACACATGGGCTTCCAGAAAAGAATGAAGGAAGCCCTGGATCCTTCCTGAGAACATACATGTAGACCATGTGAACTAGAACCGTTTAGAAGACATATTGAAGAACCATCCCAGACTTGAATAATGACATACTATTCAACTCTAATGCATGAGTAATAAATCTGCTGAAAAATAGTCTGGTTGCTAACTCATGAATCTGGTTAGTTCTATTTTGATCTGTATAGATGCTCGTTCGATGTCCTGCATGTACTCATATTTGTGCTCTTTGTGTAGGGGTATACGGATCCATGATACAGCCGAGGGAAAAAAAGTAAACACACAAGCTCATTGGACTAAAACAGCACAGGCCGCATGACCCATATCGGTGCATCTGGGAGGTAAAATTCGAATCCCTGCAAGTGTAGTTGTTGTAGATCTGGTAATAATAGTTGTACTCAGTTCTGTGGTGTATGGATATGTGAACTGCTTAAAATTATGTTTTTGTGCTGGATCTGCAACAATCACCCCCAAACTTGCATTTGTGAATGACTTTATGTTGACTGCTTTAAATTTCCAGCATAGTGTAGATGTGGGTGATGTTAATGTAGATTTGCTGCTGGGTGCATGATTCCAGTATAGGAGGCTCTTTATGTTCCACGTGCGCAACCTGCAATTAACCAAGATGCATTAAAATAAAATAAAATAAACTAAAATCGACTGGGTAAATAAAATCAACCTGCGAAGGCGATGTTCGTGAAGGTTCCTCGTAAGGAGGGTTTGGTGCTCTGTGGCTTATGAGAGCGTTTGAGAACCTGCGTTGCCGTCACTCCGGCGTGGCCTGTTGTTTCTAGGGGATTCCTTTCGACTCCCTACGGAATCTTGGAGATCGAGAGTGGACCTGATTAAAGGAGATCGAGGGGGGATCTGACTGAGGAAGAAGTAGGCGAATCCGTCTTAAACATCGAGGGCGAATCTGACTATGAGAGTGGGTCGGGAGGTCAGAGGTGAAGTGGTTAAAGGAAGGTAGATCTGGTGGGATCTGGCTACTGTAAAGACAGGGATAGAAGATCTGGGTTCACGGTTTGGATCCAAGTTGAGACTGTCTGAGAAAGAACTTGGGGGTATCAATATAGAAAGAAAGGATGTGGAATGAGCTTTGGTGGGGTTCCAATATACCATGATTGCTGAAGTGCTTACCACTAAAGAGATTAAAGGAGAGATCTTTATCGACTGCTTTATGTCGCTATGGCGGGGAAGGGATGGGGTTTCTATTAGGGATATAGGAGAGCGAAGGTTCCTGGCTCGATTTGCAGGTCAATGTGATATGCAGAAGGTTCTGGATGTGGATCAACCTTGGTCCTTCAGAAATGACCTAGTAATGGTGGCGGATAGAATTGAGCATGACCTAAACAGATGGGCACCACTGTCTCTGGGTACCTTATGGGTTCAATTTCACAACGTTCATATGCTTAGTATGACACAGGCGGTTGCGGACTTCATCGGTGGATTGGTAGGATGTGTTCAAAAGGTGGATAAGTCGGGTAGTCGTGACTGCATAGGAAGGTTTCTCCGGTGAAAATCAGGTTCAATGTTCGAGAGCCACTAATGCGAGGAACGTTTGTACAGTTCCCTGATGAAGGTAAGGTTTGGGTTGACTTTAAATATAAAGTACTACCTAAATATTGCCTCATCTGTGGGATGTTAAGACAGGCTACACAATCATGCAAAGATAGGCAGGTCAAAGAAAGAGGGGAAATGGCTAGCTACGGGGAGAAGGATGAGGAGTGGATTTCAAGGGCTAGATGCAATAACGGATCTTAGGGGAAATCCTCTGGGCAATGGGCCTCGGAGAAGGGCCTCCATAGATTCAAGTGGGGGAGGGAGAAGCTCGGAGGGAGGGCTGGAAGATAGATGTGTTGAGACTGATGGGGGAAGACGCTCTGGGCGCTCGTTGACGACATCAGGAATGGGTGGGCACTCTTAATTAGGGTGGGTGAGCTAGATCCTAGAGCGGGAATGAGTGCACTGCCTTAATGGAGGATGATGTGGTTGATACTAGATCGTCGCCTAGCAAGCCCAAGTGGTCGTCGAGCAAGGGAGGCAAGGGAGACAATAAACATGTTGATAAAATTCGTTGCCAGAGAAAGGAAGAGGAAGATGCCAGAAGGGCTAGAGAAATTATGTATGATGTATGGCTAATTGGTCCAAAGGGTGTGGTAGCTGCTGGAGTTAAATAGGTTGTCCCGTTCGAGATACCAGAGGAGCTCAATGGGGAGGTTATGGTTAATGTGTCAACAGGTCTAAGTCAAAGCTTTGACCTTAATTCTTTACCGATTGCTGTTGACGGCTCCGCAAGCGGGATAATGGGACGGGGGGAGAAAGAAGGGGGACAAATTTTGAAAAATGGAATGGAAGCTGTGATGAACGAGAACAAAGGGAGAAAGAAGGGGGCTCAAGAGGTAGAATGCTCAGAGCCTGGTGGAAATGAACCAAAAGCAAATAGGCTAAGGAAATGCTTATTCAGAGAGGTCGGGGAGACTACCCTTGAGGGGTCTCCCAAGTACCAATGAAGCTAATCATTTGGAACTGTCAGGGTATCGGGGCTGACCTGACAGTTGACAACCTATTGGAGCAGAATCGGCTTCTCACCCCTGACATTGTGGTTCTACTAGAAACAAAAAATAAAGTAGATGTTTTGAGTATCTTCAAAGAAGGCTGGATATGGGTTTCATTCACGCGGTGGAGCCTAAAGGGATCGGCGGGGGCATGTGTATGTTTTGGAGGGATGTTTCTATGGTAACTTTGGTGAAATCTGAGGAATTTGTTATTGAACTGAGACTTTAGGATGGAAAAATCAATAGCCACTGGAAGCTGTTTGCCATTTACGCTAGCACCGATGAGAAAAAAAATGAGGGAGCAATGGGGGAACCTGAGTAAAAGATTTGAAAATGAGAGGGACCAAAAACTAATTATCGGAGATTTCAACGATATTCTGTGTAATGAGGAAAAGGAAGGAGGTAATTACAGAGTGACTTCTAGTCTGAGGGATTTTAGGGAGTTCGTGGTCGGAAACAAGCTAATGGATTTGGGCTTCGAGGGATATCCTTTCACATGGAGGAACAATCGGGACGCTTTTCCAAGCAGAGATTGGATCCGGCTACGATGGGATGGAACAGCTTGTATCCGGACTCAAAGATCAGGCACGTAATGTTGGAATGATCGGACCATGCTATGCTCTTTCTAACCACGGAGAAGGTGTGGCTGCGGAAGGGGAGGAGATTCATGTACGATGCCAGATGGAGTAAAATGCAAGATTGTCGTGATCTGGTAAATGAGGACTGAAAGGACAGGTTCAGAGGTTCCTATGCTTTCAGATTCTGTGAAAAGATTAAATCTCTCAGAAGGTGTTTAAAAGCCTGGTATAGAGTGAGAGGTAGGAATTCTAAACAAGTCATCGAGCTGCTGAAAAGTGAGATAAGAAGTGCGTACGAAACCAACGATTTTACCTCGGAAAGGGTCAAACAATGGGAGTGTGAGTTGAGGTTTGCTAAAAAAAATGAAGAGAGTTATTGGAAAGCCAAGTCAAGGATCCAGTGGTTAAAGGAGGGTGACAAAAACACGAAATTCTTCCATGCACAAACTATGAAGCGTCAGAAATCCAATCAAATTCGAGGGCTGGAGGACCAGAATGGGGTATGGCGTGAGGACGAAGCGGGAATATGCTCCATGGCTATATCCTACTTTATGGAGCTCTTTTCGATTAGCTGTCCTATGTATTGGAATGAGCCAAACTGCGGCATAGGGGCTAGGGTGTCGAATGAAGATAACATCGCCTTAACGGCGAAGGTGACGGAAGAAGAAATTAGGATGACGG